CTACAGAGAAGTTTGCTTTGAATCACTACGGAAGAGGAGTTTGTCTTTCAATTAAATCTTAGTTGCTGATCGTGAACGACGGCCTTTGATATCTGTAACATGACTGCAATCAAAACGAAATCGAAAAGAAGACTGCAATGTTATCCGATAATATTAATGATAGCAGCGCACACTGATTTCACTTTTTTTAAATGTGCAAGGATCCCCAATTGCCAACTTCGTTTATGTTCAGCAACAATTGGTTGGGTGTATTCTATAATTTCAATGTCAGTACGCAGCTTTTCAAAGACAATAGCGGGTAGCAGCCAAAGAATGGCACAAAGGTAACTGCCAAATGGCTTTGCAATCCATTCGCGCTACTCACAACGATCAACACTCGAATTAAATTACTACACTTCAGACTCCAAAACGAATTAGGTAAACAAGTTGAAACTCCATCAAAAGAACATCATTTCACAAACCGAGTTGAGATTAATCTGTTTGATAATTCAATGACCATCGCCGACGTTGCTATTGAATACTCCGCTGGCTGAATTAATGGCGGTTCAGCATTTGCTTGCTGATAATCACAACGCCATAACTGGCTGTCCGCAGTCTGTGGCTCTAGATGTCACTTTGTGGGTTGATTTGGTTTAAGAAAGAGGATCGTTTTTCTTGCAGCTTCACTAGTCACAGAGTCTACCTTGTTAAGCCACCGAGGTTGATGATCGCTGAAGCAAAACAAGCTCTTCCTATTGCCTTTTGAAAAGCAGATGAGGGTAAAAGAGAAGTTAGGGTTAAGATATACAATCCATTTTCCAAGTATCTAAATTGCAGTGTAGGAGTGTGGCATTCATTGGGAGAGTGTAGATAGAGTTCAAATTAAGTTGCGTTGCAGTAATTTTCATTCACTCTATCTAACACGTCATTTCCACCGTGGAGACTTGATGGAAAAAGAGAGGCAAACAGAATTTTCTTAGAGTATAGATTTTCTGCAACAACATTTAGAATTTGTTCCATTTATTTCTTTGAGGGTCTTTCAGACCGATTCATTTTTTTAACCGATTAGCAATTTGAATAATTTTTGATTCCAAGCGTTCATCATCGGTTCTCACTTTTACCGTTCACAGAACATAGATCAACAAGGAGTTAGACACTGGTATTTTTGGATGCAATGTTTTGAGCTGGGAAGGCGTCAACCTTTGAAGTTCTTCAGCATTTTGCAGCGGGTCATTATCAATAGCGACTATTGTGTTTTGGGATTTGAGATTCGCTAATAATTTCTCTTGATTTTAAACTTTCATTGAGGACGTCTTCAAAACACGTTCAAATTAGGATACAACAAACCCCAATTCTGCTAGTTCTAAAGAATTGCCCTGACCATTGGAGAGCCACTTTGTATTCTAATACGTTGTTGAGCAAATGCAAAGTACTCTATAAATCCCAAGGATGTAAAAAAAGGGTGTCTATCGGAATGAATGCCGGCGACTCTCAGTTTCAGCACCAGTGGATGGCGCCGCGGCACCCATGGAGATCAATATCAGATATTGATTGAACAGATCTAGTCATTCAGTAGGTTTTCAGAAAGCCTACTGATCGCCTTCTGCCGACTTTAATGGATGAGGTCAATCAAGTCTGTTGCGCCAATCAATGACAATGTATGGAAAAAAAGCAGTGAATTATATCTAACAACGGAAAACAGAATCCTGGCCACTCTTGTAAAAAACAGCATTGGTGATATATCTTCAAGAGTGCGGAGCTTCACCGGAAACCAAATGACCGCATGACGTGATACATATGGATTTCATTGTCGTGCTCTACTCAGTGACCATTTTTGAATCAACTGGCTAAACGTCTGCGAATACTTCAGAGAGCCCGCTTACTGCGGGTTGTATTGGTGAAGTTGATTTCGTTATATACACATGGCCCTAGCCTCCAAGAATGGGTTAGGTGGAGCAGTTAGCTGGTCTCTAACCACAACCAGACATAATTAAAAAATCGATTGATGAACCGCGATAGATTTCTGAGATTGCAATGCAGGGATGTGCTTTACGACATCAGGGCTACGCCAAAATTGGATGTCGAAAGGCATGGGGATCTCGGTAGTGTTGTGCGACAAATTCGGTTCTTGGCCACTTGGATACAATCCTCGTTTGGATTATTACGAACAGAAAACTATCCACACCATTGTGTAGGGTAAAGTCCAAGATGCATATAGAAATGAGTAAGCTAAACAACAGTAATAGAGTAAAATAATACTGCGGGAAACAATCCAATTGTCAAACTAGCTGCTTGATTTTTCAATTAGAAGCATCCAACAGTTTTCAGTAAAAATCAACTCTAATGAATAATTGTGATTATCATAGTAATTTTCAGTGAAATTATGCTAATGGTAAGCTTAATAGAAGCGGACAAAACAATAATGGCGTCATTGCAGATCGAAAAATAGTTTGAAATCGTGCTGCTTATAGATCAATTCTTTCTCCACTGGCAATTGAGTCAACCAGTGGGTGTAGTGCGATAGTTTGACTGACCTGCGTTATGGAACGCAGTTGTCATAGCATATTCATCATATGCAGATTCGACTCTTAGAAGAAAGTATCGTTTTCGGTGTAAGCTTCTGTTGAAGTACTACTTTTGGAAAAATACTCCGGACTTCAGCGAATGGAAATTTGGTTTGCAGGTTGAAACAAAAATTTTGGCCGCGCTGATCAAGGGTCGTTTCAACATAGCTGCCATTATATTCAATCAATTGGAGTAACAACACTCTGACGTTAACAACCCCGCACGTCCATCGAATTCACCAATTGAAGTCAACATGACGGCCGCGACCAGCTTCTTAGAGTTCAATTCAACGCGGTTCCGATTCATAGCAGCCCCATTGCCATGAAGGATGTCCATTGTTCAATTTCTGCAACCCAAACAATTTTTCTTTGTGGGTATCCTCCCCCCCATTCAAGATTGAGCGACGAAATGTACCGCCAATCAATCTGTGTCACACGGATTACGCACAGATTTGGCATACCTTCCATTCATCTTCAATGGTGCGTCAAGGAATCCAGTTAACAATCTTTCATCGAACGAAATCACGAACCATCAACAAATTCCAGCTGAAGGGAACAAGACAATGATTGAACATCCAAGAAAACAACCCTTAGGTATTGACAAAAGAGTGCCTTCTTTCATTTGGCACTTCTAGTGAAATTATTATCATTGGAGAGGTTGGTGTAATATTCTATCCGTGAGAAGCTGATGGTCCTTCCACGGGAGGTAAAAGTTGATCAACACCACCATCCGCTAACTACGCAAATTAGAATCATGCCATATTGGTCAGAATAACTTTACTTTAAGGACTTCTGCTCTAAACAATAAATAGACGTAGGCTCTTTACATTTGAAGTTGACTTATATTTATTTAGGATGATTATGTTTCAATTGCTGCGCATATTGAAAGTGATATTGACCAAGCAATGGGGTTTGTCATAGAAAAACTCCACCATCGAAAGAGATGAGATGGTCAAGATTGCCATATGAAATTGACATTGTGCAGACAAGCAGTCTATCCAAAATTCGCAAAGAAGACTCTACTGAAAACACTCAATTGGATTGCCAAGTGCAATTGCTCAGACGAATCAAAGCGACCATTGGCGAAACTATTTGAAAATGATGTTGACACAGCAACAAATGATGGAAATGCTGATTGCTGATGGAGCTCAACAGTTGGCCCAGTACTATTTTAGGCTAATACTGTCACAATCAACGTTTTCTTTACTACATCAGCTATGCGGAATCGTATCGCCAGTCCGGGTAGTCATCATTAATCTGGCGCTATGAGGCTCCACAATATGATTGTCAAACATCAGAGTTTTCCATTCATTAAAACAATGATGATCTTCAAATGAATCATGCGGATATTAGATTTCTTGACACAACTTCATTTGTTACAATCAGAAACTGTTTTCTGGAAACATCTCACGAGCAAATGACTATTTGTGACACTGGTTGTGAAAGTGGTACAATCACAAAACAGAATCCAAGAGGTTTCAATGGGCTGTTGAATTCTAACGTGCTCACACGGTCCTCATGACATCATCCACAATCTCAATCGTATTCCACTGAACGTCGTTTGGTTTCACTGACTGAAGCAACAAATCATTGATTTCTATATTGATATTATTTCGGATGAGCTCAAACATTAGTCCCCTTTGGAAATCTCTATGTCGATAATCGTTGAGTTTAACTCATTGTTGTTTTATTTACTGCTATAATGGATCCGAGCATTTTAATAATCAATATCTTGCTAATGACGACCTTTTTCCAATAGACAATTGGTTCCTGTTATGTTATTACACCAGACAATCTCACCAACCCGCTTAGTAGTCATTTGACCCCGCAAGATTTCCCACCATTGCAAGGACTTAAAATAATCTTACAGCTTGCGATCAATGAGCATCAATATTGACAACTTGTGCCGAAGTGGAAAACGAAGAAACTCAATTAGGGTCAAATCTTTTACGATTGAACGATTTCTCATATTCATTCAAATTAAGACGATTAGAACAATATTAAGATTTACAACATCAGCACTGGAGAATCTGAACCAGTGAAATATTGATAAAAAGTTTAATTCCTTTCATCTCTATTGCTTTATAAATCATTCAGTAAAAGGATTCTCTGTCAGATTGACCGGGCATCTATTTTCACCTGCAGATATGCTTTTCGAGAGCTTACACTGAATCCACCTCTAATTTAAGGTATCCTATCGTTACATCTCAACAATATCCACTATAACAGAATGATATGCGTTTTGGTTTAATATGATATCAAACGGAACATTATCATTTTTATACGTTGCTCATATTTTATGAATGCTATTCCTCTTACAGTTAATTACATTTCTACAATTTAGATAACCTTGACCTTTTAATTTACTCATTTTCTTGCGATAGATATGAAAAGGTAATTCAATATTAGTCAAATCGGTTTTCTTCATTTGCGATATTTACTTGAAGTAAATAAATTATGAGAAGCACCGTTCAAATCCATTATGTATTAGTGTATAATGATCAGTTATCCATTGAAAGAGCGTACAATGTACAGTCTCAAACGTCTCTGATCTTCTATTTTTACGTTGGAAGTCTTCGAATTTTCTTCAAAGATGGACACATTGGCCACAACGACATTGATGAAATCGTTATGATACGTCATCAATTCGGGACTGATGCGGTTGAGACCGGCGCTGAACGATCGTTGCTTCAAAGTCTCCTCACCATGAAAAGGACCAATGGAGGTGATACGTCTGGGTTCATCTCAAAGGAATTGACCGCTGCTACTTCTAAGAATGCAACAACAATAGCAGTTGAAGGAACTGCTTAAGCACTAATCAAAGCTTCTTTTGAGTTCTAAGGAGTGAAAAATTTCAAGGAAGGCAGTGCTAAAGTGTGCAAAGGATCATTAAATTGAGAGGATGCGTCTTAGTTTACCCTTTTGGAAAATGCAAATACTGCATAAACCCTGCTTACAAGCGTCAATTATTGAAGTAAATGACGAAGAACTCAAAAAACGACCAGACACGGTTTCAAATCTCTTCCCACGATTTAGATCGACTGCTGCTCATGCTGCCCTTCTTAAGTTAAAACCCAAAGTTGTTGGAACAGATTTTTAACCAGAGTCGTTTAGCTGTGAACGCATTAGATGTGACGCAATGGAATGCTTTATCCATCAATTTGTGATATATCTGCAGCCTAACGTCGGAAAAAGATTTTTAGGAAATACATCAATGGTACATATCATGGTGTTAACTCATGATGCCCACACAGCACGTATTACTAGAAGGAGCGGAGCCGAATTTTTCTAGCAGCCTCATTTTGATTAGTGAATATGATGATCTGCTATTGAAATCAAATAAGAGAAAACATTTTCAGATCTTTGAAGCTCGAAGCGGTTTTTCTGAAAGTTTGACTCTTTTAAGAAAATACAGTCGTTTCGTCGAGTGAATCATAACGATCACATTTAATCAGGGAAGCTAATAAAACTTCAATAATTATTGAGATGAGTCATTCTTTCAACATTGATATTTCAGCTGATCTATTGCCACATCAAATTAGAAATCTGAATCGGTTCTTTTTGCAGCCGCTTATGAAATCTCTGGTGAAATTGTTGCGGCTCCAAATGGTGAGTCAACAACGACCATTGGTTGTCTTCCTGAGAAACAATTTGATGTTGCTATGAAATGAATGTTGAATCGTCCGACCGACTACGAAAGTGAGCATGCCGGATTCCGTACATTGTTTTAACATGAGTAGAATCAACTTCAAGCGAGTGACTCTGTCTAATGATGAAAAAAGCGTTCACATCGATTAGGGATACCCATCACCATCTGCAAAAGAAAATGATAGGTAACCAATGGAATCACATATTGGTGAGTTTAAATTTATTGAAGGATCCTTGCAAACTGCACGGTATCATTGTCGTTATGGAAGTGCATTTATTGCCTTCAAAACTAAACTGCATTTATGCGACATCTAGTTCAGAGCATTCTTAAACTCGAGAACAATCATAATGGATATTTAGTACCGCGAACGGGTTCGATTCTCTTGAGTAGACGAATGTTCACTCGTTAGACTCACCAACGTTGGTTCAAGTCGTGATACACAAAGCTGAAGCACTAGCAAATGCATAACAAAAGATTCAGAGCTTTCACTGGTTTTAGGCGGCAATAGTAGAAGAAGCATCTCATCTCGAGCTTTGCTGAATGGATTTTGATGTCAATGCACGACATATCAAATGTGTTGCAGTATGATTAGTTCTTCCATTGGCCGCCAAAAGTTACAACAGTCTCTGCCAAGAGAAAGCAACGACAACGATCTTCAATGGCCCAAGCAATCATTTAGTTAATCTTGACTCCCGAGCCGCATCAGTTACGTCCAAAATGATCCTTGGAAGGCAGCCATGGGGCTTCGCATTCATAAATCTAATCTCTACCTATTGTGGCAATACGTTGGAAGATTGTCGTAAGCTCCGCGTTAGGCACTGTCCCAGTGTGTGCCATCGTTGAGCGCTTTAAAACCGACGGTGATTACTATTTACTCAGCTTGGTAATATATTGGCTGGTGCAAAATCCAAAGGATGATACTACTAGAGCGATAACTCCACTCATTAGTATTTTAGCAAAAAGAGGCCAGAGATAATCAAAATTGTTCGTTGAAGTTCATACTTACGAGACATCTAATAGATTCGAGATATGTTTGAATGGATTTCTTAGGAAATCTCATTGCCATCTGGAGTTGCAAAAGTAAAAAAATTTGAAAGCCTAGCAGCCAACAGAATTAAAATAGAATTCGAATCATCAATCGGTGACTTACTGATCTTCGAAAATTTGGATCCGTTGGTTGCTTTTCACCATTTACGGCTAATATTGCTGCATGTCACTATCCAATTCCACTATTGTTTCTAGACAATGATTTAGTGACGGCTTCAGGGCATTATCTATGCGGTATCGTTGAAGTGAGACAACATGGATTTGAAACGGCAGACTGGTCTGATTACTTTGTTAAAATTAATGTTTAAATATATATCGGTCAGGTAAAATTTCATAGCGAAACTCGATTTGAAGCAATCATTCATTGACCTGTGGACGAGAGAATCCAACAGACGATTGTCGTTCACGATGAGCGGGCGGGCGCTAATATCACAAAGAATGACAAATCGTTTCTTCACAATGCGAAATCGTAACTTGCTCTCCTGTTCTTCAAAGAATCCGTTGATTGTGGCTTGTCACTAACTGAAAATGGATCTGACTTACTGACTGATTGAATGAAAAAAGGATAACTAATTTAGAACGTTTGAGATGAGCCTAACGACTCCGTGGCCTTTGATCATTGACATGCTGATAGTCATTTGCGCGTGATATTTCTCCGCGATCGATATACTCATAATCGTTCGATGCATGTTGTTCACAATCATCGTTATATTGGTGATCACATCGCCGGTAAGCAAGTGGTACTCTGTCTAATCCTTTCAGATGACAATGTCTCTGACATTGCAACTTAAAATAATTGTACGGCTACATTGGAAACGCTTTGAAAATCATTATATATACCATATCTACTTCGACCAAATTAAACTATGCACCACGTTGCTTGTGGAAATGCAAAATATAACTACTTTGATAATTTTTAAGGCAATTTGCTTTCAAATATTTCTTACATCAAGTGCAAACACCAAGCTTAAAAGACGATCTAGTAGTGCAACTTCTACAAGCGAAGACTGAATTAATTGATAATACTTATCTATTCAAACAAATGCCTGTTCAATATCTTTGTCAGCTGTTACTTAATCGAATTATATTGTTATAGCAGCGTATTACCTATTTACATTTGAAGCGCTTCAATTCTTAGAGAAAAATAGACCATTCTCACAGTGGAACAATATCCAATGGTTGTCGTAGTTTTGGATATATGACTTACAACGGTTGCATGAATGAATATTGTTTTGTGTAACTACGTCTCATTCTTCTTCGTTCCATTTCCTACTATTAATCGGTTACGGTTGTCAGTAAGAGAAATATGTCGTCAAAAGTACTATCTATTTATGATTTAAACGAAGGAGATCAATTAAAGTTGCTCTCAGTAGCTCTCACAACTACTCAAAGCTACCAGCTAATTCTATCATATTGCAATCGCGAACCAAATTAATTATACGTCAAATCCGTTGAACACTTAGCTGCTGAAGTGATTGTGATTATTCATTAGGTTACTAGAAGGCTCCAATGGGAAACATCAATGTTTCCTTCCGACCGCTGTTGATTCATTTTTTGTCGATCTATGTTTGACATCCGTGTTTCTCCAATTTGAGAGGATCAAATGAGTGCTCTGCGCCGATGGACGTGACTTTCTCTGACGAAGAACTGTCTTCGCTTTTCTCCTTTGAATTCATCAATTGTTTTAATAACACGGACAAACTTGTTTCTGCCAATCCGACGTCTCTCAAATAATAATAATCACTGAACTATTGTGTAAGTAGATTTTGATTTATAGACGAAACTTTGATCATCTTTAATTGATCAATTTTGAGCTGCAACAGTTATACCTTAAACAGCTTTCATTCGACTCTCTCAGTCACCTGCGATATGTTCGTCAATAATTGATACTTCGGGGATGTGAACAGGTGAAAAAGATCTGTTGCCTAAAGGCGGAAAACATCCTTTACTGGTGCTCAACGGAAATTAAATATCCTTGAGATTGTATCCACTTGTAGTTAATGGCACTCATTTGATTTAATGACCAGGGGCCGCGGTTCGTGCGAATTGCAACCAACTGACGTTTGGAGTGAAGCAATATGTTATGTGGCACACGTCTTGCGCAAATAACAGACATAGCTTTCTGATTTTTTCATACTATGCAACAGCTGCACCGACAATGACAATGTGTCAGCACACTCACCAGCTTAGCTGATATCACTAATCTATTGATGTTTCCAGCTAAATTTGAAATGTGCCTCACAGAAGAACAACTTATTCAACGGAGGATATCCGATCACTCTGTTGGACCAATATTGGCACTTTTGACACTTTTGTTTGATGTCTTTTCTTATCTAGTCAGATAATAATGGATCACCGTGTTCATCATCTGTTGATGTAACTGAAGCAAAAACATATTCGAGATGGAGATGATCATCAATCAATTTGAAGTTCTCGTATTCTTATTCTGATCGTTTTTCATTCGCTACTTAGAAGTGAATCAGGACTCTTCGTCGATGGCAGTTTTCAATAGGATTAAATTTTCTATCGTCGTCTGCAATTTCTGCTGGAATCACTAAATCCCCATACCTAAATGATCCAAGTTCAGAAAGCATTAAAGTTGATTGATTTGATTTATTACTTCGTTCCATTCATTCGGATGAATTTGCTATCATTCCTCTTTTTTTCACTTCTACGATGGCCCTGATCGTATCAAATAGAGATAAGGATACCTTTTGTTCGGTAACATCGAAACCGTTGCCAGTCAAACCATTGGCTCCAAGATCATTTCCACCATCTTTCGTAGCTACCCTACAAGTGCCGTTGAAGAGGCAACTGATGAACTGTCGTTCCTAAGGAGGGGATACCATGTCAATCTTCTTTCTCCAAATATTGTAATTCAATTCTTTAAGTGACGCAGTGAATGCGTTTCTAAAAGTCTTCCCTTCTTGGATTCTACATATTATGCGAAATTCTTCATTCAGCTTAATGAGATTATCATTATTTTGATTTTCATTGTCCATTCCAGCTACTGCAGTTTTGAATGTAACTGCGTTCAACGCATCAAAAATGCTAGCTAACCCTCATGTGGATCGATTCACACTTGTAGCAGCGACAAATTGTCAAATGATAGACT